ACTGGCGCCTTCGGTGGAGCTCCCCATGGGGCCGCGGGCCGTCTGAGGGGTGTGCCGCAATGGGGCGGGGCCGCCCTGCGAACGCCGCCGCCGGCGCCTTCGCTGGAGCTCCTATGGGGCCACGATCCTCACGAGAGGTGTGCCGAAATGGGGCGGGGGCCGCCAGGCGAACCCTGCCACTGGGGCTTTCGGTGGGGCTCCCTTATAGGGCCACGAGCCGCGTGGGGGGTGCGCCAAAATGGGGCGGGGCCGCCATTCGGACGCTGCCACTGGCGCCTTCGGTGGAGCTCCCAATCGGGCCACGATCCTCGCGAGGGGTGCGCCAACGTGGGGCGGGGCCACCATGCGAACGCTGCCACTGGGGCCGGCGGAGCTCCCTCTGGGGCCACGATCGTGAGGGATGCGCCGAAATGGGGCGGGGCCGCCATGCGAACGCCGCCACTGGGGCCTTCGGCGGAGCTCCCTCTGGGGCCACGATCGTGAGGGATGTGCCGAAATGGGGCGGGGCCGCCAGGCGAACGCTGCCACTGGGGCCTTCGGTGGAGCTCCCCATGGGGCCACGATCCTCGTGGGGTGTGTGCCGCAATGGGGCGGGGCCGCCATGCAAACGCTGCCGCTGGCGCCTTCGCTGGAGCTCCTATGGGGCCACGATCCTTGTGGGGGGTGCGCCGAAATGGGGCGGGGGCCGCCAGGCGAACCCTGCCACTGGGGCTTTCGGTGGGGCTCCCTATGGGGCCACGATATCCGTGATGGGGTGTGCCGAAAAGAAGCGGGGCCGCCATGCGAACACTGCCGCTGGGGCCTGCGGTGGAGCTCCCTATGGGGCCACGATCCTCGTGAGGGGTGTGCCGAAATGGGGCGGGGCCGCCGTGCGAACGCTGCCGCTGGGGCCTTCTGTGGAGCTCCCTATGGGGCCACGATCCTCGTGAGGGGTGCGCCGAAATGGGGCGGGGCCGCCATGCGAACGCTGCCACTGGGGCCTTCGGTGGAGCTCCCTATGGGGCCACGAAGCGCCGCACTGGGCGGGTGAAACGCAGGGGGGAGGAGGGGGCGGAGGGGGATGAGGAGAAGGAGGTGAAGGAACGCGGGGCGACGTCTCTTCAAAGCGAGGACCCAACACCACAGGATGGTCGGGGGAAAAAAACATCAGGTGCGCACTTGCTGGTCGCACTTTTCCCGTCTAAAGTGTACGCTTGCGCGCTAAATGCAACCGTGTGTTTTGGGCAGCGTGGGCGCCAGTGCCAGGCGCCGCTGCATCTTCGAAGCCCCCCTCCGAGAGGAGAGGAGAAGGCCCAGGGACCAGGCGGAGGCGCAGGCCGAGGCGACGAGGACACAGGGGCCCAGGACGGCCCAAGACCCCAGGCGAGGAGGGGGGGGGGGGCGGTCCGAGCCCCCGCTCAGCTCTCGGCGGCGCGCTCGCGCGAGGAGGCGGCGCGCGCGCCCCGCGCCGCCTCGCCCTCCGCCGCCGCCCAGGCCCCGCGGCCGAGCGGGCGCCCCAGCCGAAGGGCGGGCGGGGGCGAAGCGCCCCGGCGGCGCGCCTCCGCAGGCGCGGGCACGGGCCGCTCCTCAGTGGCCCGCCCGCCGCGCCCGTTCACCAGCCTGAGGAAGACGTCCATCAGCGCTGGCCCAACCAATCCTGAAGGCTCCGATGGAGCCCGCCTGGCGGTGCGGTGCCCTGGAGGTCCACGCCGCCGATCTTAATCACCGCCTTCTTGCACGTGGTCGCGAACTCGGTCGTCGCGATCGCCGCGCACACGCGAGTGTGCCGCTTGTCGTACATGTCCTTGAGCTTGAAGTACTTGAAGTTCTCCGTGATGAAGTCCTGCTCGCTGACCTGGGCGTGGAGCGCCTTCACTGGCACCTCGAGGTCGGAGCCCGCCACCTCTGGCGAGTTGGCCAGCGAGCGCACCGCCGTCTCCACGAGGTACGGCAACGGCGGGCCCAGGCCGTGCTGCGCTGGGCTCTTGCCGCGGCACAGATTGCTGCAGGTTTTGCCCGCGTCCTTCACGTTCTTGATTATGTCGCTGTCGAGCGGGGCCTTGAACGCGAGGTGGCAGGCCGACTCGAGGTCGCGGATCTGGAGGCCGTGCGAGAGCACCAGGCGCGCCAAGGTGGCCACCGTCTCCTCGACATCGTCCTGCTGGCGGCGGGCGCGAGGCTTCGCGGCGGCCTTGGCCCTGCCGCGCGGCAGGGGCAGCACCTCGTCCTCCTCCTCCTCTTCCCCGCGGCGCGCCCCTCCTCCCGCGGGGCGTTGGCGCACTCGACGGCCGCCTGGGGGACCTCCCGCCGCCGCGCGCGCCCCGTCCTCGCCCGCGACCGGCGGGGCGACCAAAGCCCAACCGGGCGCCGGCAGCGTCGCAAGGAGGCTTCGGGGGCCGCGGCGGCAACAAAACTGGTCTCCGCCCAGCGAAGTGCACTGAGACAAAATGGCTGTAGTGGTGGTCCAACGTCGCAGACTGCTCGCTACAAAAAGGACAGCGGATATCTTCCGGGGCCAACAACTGCGGCGCAGCATGGGCCAGGCCGCCACGACAATCACCGCGGGCAAGAGCGAATATGACATGTTGTGTTGCCGACGCCCGAGAAGCAATAACAGTGCAGCAGAACCCGCACTGGTTAGACAAACACAAGGACGACTCCACCGCTCGATACTTGTGAGAACTGATTTTGCGCCACAGCAAAGCTCGCTCCGAACAGAGGGCGGCCCCGCACAAGCCCTCAGCGCAGGGCTCCTGGCACGCGAACTCGAAGTCCCCGATCTCGATGAGGCCAGGCGGCTCACGTGCTGGCCTGAACTGGTCGCCGCGCAGGGTCTACCAGCGATGACGCACGGCCGCGGCAACCTCGCGTGAAGGCGGGTACTGGGCCGCCCAGCCGCGAACCCGAAGCACGCGCGGGTCGAGTTGAAGGACTTCATCCCGCGGGGCGTCCTCCAGCAGCAAGAGGGGGCGCGCGCCCCACACCTCCAGCAGGTCCTCGCGCTCGGACGCGCGCAAGAGCAACTTCGCGTCGTCCACCAGCAGCCTCGCGAGCGCCGAAGCCCCCTCGCCCAGGCGGCCGCCCTCCTCCAGCACGGGCTGCAGCGCGAAGGGCAGCTGGCCGAACAAAGCCGTGAGCTCCATCTCGTGATCCGCTGGGTGGCGCACCATGCACTTCGCGAGCCCGAGCCTCACCGCGCGCAGCTCGGTCTCGATGTCCGCCGTCTGCAGCGGCTGGCCGACGACCTGGGCGGGCATGGACCTGCGCTGGTAGCCCTCCTCCGCCAGGAAGCCCCGCGACGCCCGCGCGCCCAGGGGCGAGCGGCCCAGGCGCAGAGCGGCCCCGCCCAGCGACGCCAGGAAGGACTGCGTGGCCGCGACCGCAGCCGCACCAGGGAGGAGCGCCCCCAGCACCTTGGAGCGGAAGACCTGGCGCACCACCTCGACGGAGACCTCGGACTTCCAGAAGCGCCCCATGTCCGCGAAGCCTCGCGTGGCAGCCGCCGCCCGAGCTCTGATCTCCGTCGCGAGGCCGCCCTGGTAGTGCAGCATCGGGCCAGGGTAGCGAGCGACCGTCGAGCAGTTGCCACGCGCGCCTAGCCTGCCCGCGAAGAAGGCGCGTGTCTTGGCCCTGGCCCCCTCGCCACGGAAGGCGCACATGGCGCACTGCTTGGAGATGTTATGCTGGAAGCCGCGCGGCTCCAGCGGCCTGTCCGAGAGCTCGTCCGAGGCCTTGTGGTTCTTGACCACGGCGTCGTGGCACCGCGAGACGAAGCGCTTGCAGAGGTCGCCCGCGAACTTAGCGAGGCCGAGGTCCAGAACAGTGCCCGTGACGACGGACTTCGCCTCCAGCAGCTGCGCGTCGGGGTGATCGGAGTCCGCGACGGCCCACTCGGTCGCCACAGGCGTGAAGACCTCGAGGCAGAGCGGGGGGCCGATCGAGTCGCCGATGAGCACGCCCTGGTTGGTCATCATGCGCAGCGCGCCCTCGGCCGTCTCCACCTCGCAGTGGTAGTCGAGGGCCCTCCGCGAAACAATGCGGTGGTCCTCGGCGCGCACCGTGCCCTTCAGGCCCTGCGCCATGTCACGCACCGACGGGCGCTGGGGCGCCTTGCTCAGGCCCTTGAAGCTCGCGAGCGCCGCGAGGCCGCAGCGCGCGGCCCGCTCGGCCACCGCCGCCGTAACCGCCAGAGCCCCATCCCGCGAGCGCCTGGGGGCGACGCCGAAGTCATTCGGTGCCGCCTTCACCTTCTGGGCCCTCGCCGCCAGCACAGAGGTGTAGCCCTTGCCGACGGGGCGCATCACGTGGACGATCCTGCCGATGTCCGCCGCCCTGGACCTGGGCCACGCCAAGGGCGCCGTCTTGAACAAGCGGGCGAGGGCCAAGTGGTGCAGCATCCGCTCCCTGAAGACCTTCACGCTCGGGGGCTCCGCCATGTGGCCGATGCCCTCGCCCTGCCCGACGGCGATGAGAGGCGCCGAACACATCCTCCACGCCGGCACGGGCGCCGACCGCGGCGGCGCCGCCCGCCGCGGCTGCATCTTCCGCCGCATGCGCTCCTCCAGCTCCTCCAAGTCCTCCAGCGCCGCCTCCTCGGCGCCCAGCACCGAGCAGCACTGCGCCAGCGACGGCCGCAGCTGCTCGAGATACGGTCGCGCGTCCAGCTCCGTCGCCGAGTAGCCCCCCAGTCGCCCAGGGCTCTTGAGAAGCTTGCGCCGCGCCGCCGCCGCGCGCCCCAGGCGGGGGGCGCAGTGCGCGCGACGGCGCGTGCCCAGCCCCCGCTCGCCCAGCAGGTGGGCCAGCCTCCACATCGTGGCTGCGTCGCCCACTCGCTCCGCCTCCGCCAGCGCCTCGCAGCGCACCGCGCGGAGCCGCCTGCGCTGCTGCCGCTGCAGCGCGCGCAGGCGGCGCGTGGCGTTCTTGAGCTCCTGCGCGCACCTCTCCAGCTCGAAGTCCGTCGAAGCCCGCGTCTCGCCCTCGATCACGTGCCGACGGCGGATGTCTGCTCGCTCCTGCAGCAGCTTCTTGCGCTGCCCCGTCGCCTCCTCCATCTCCCTCGCGTCGCGCTCCTTGAGGCCGAAGTGCGCCAAGCCCGTCTCGCGCGCCGCCTCTGCCAGCTCGCCCCAGGCCTCGCCGGGGCCCTTCTCCTCATCCAAGGGAGGCCGAACCATGTTCTCGCACTTGTACAACTCCGTCAAGAACTCCAGCTTGCCCTGGTGCCGCTTCAAAGCCAGCCAGCAGGCGTCCATGTCCCACTGCGCCCGCGCCGACCTGGGAAGAATCTCAGGGTGCACGGGCGTGATCATCACGGAGACCACCAGCGGCGTGTGGTCCCTCCTGCCGCGGGCTCGAATAGCCTGCAGCATGTCGCCGATCGTGTAGAGCGGCTTGCAGTCCGCGGCGCTCGGCATGAGCTCGCGGGGGATCGCGATCGCGTCGGGCCTCGACCTGGCCCCAGTCGGGCCCGAGAAGGTGTAGCCCTCGAAGAAGGTGTTGACCGTGGCGAGCTCCCACCCCTCGCAGAGCCGCCTCCACGCCGTGCCCGACTCGCGCCCCAGCGCGGGCTCGACCTGCCCGATAGCCTCAGACAGAGGCGAAAAGACCCCCGCCTCGTGCTTGACCACGCCGAGCCCGTCATTGAGGTCGGCGCAGAGCAACGGCGTACAACGCGCGGGCGTCTCCATGAGGCAGCGCTGCGCCCGCGCGAAGAGCGCGTCCGCCGCTGCCCGCTGAACCGCGACCCCGCGCACAGGAAGGTAGAGGGCCAGCGCCAGGATGTCCGGCGTGCCCCGCCTAAGGCGGGCGCCGCCGCCGTGCCCGCGCAAGGCCGGTGGCGGCGACAGCAACTTCAGCACCTTGAACCCCTTCTTGAAAAAGATCGAGACGCCGCACGCCTTGCCGGCGTGCCCGCCTCGCCCCCATCCCCAGTGGAGCGCGTCGTGGTTCGGCAAGGTCTGCTTCGAGACGTCCGCGCCGCCGCGCCACTTCACCTGCGCGCCCTGCAACGCCACCACGTCGTGCCAGCCCAGCTCCTGGCTGATCTCCTCGGCGCGGAGGCGCCTGCACAACGAGAGCGGGCCGTGGCTGACCTCGCGCGTCGGCGCGCCCCCCGCAGGGGGGGGGCCAGCTTCGGCGCGCGAGGGGCCTCGCGCGAGCGCGGGGAGGCGAAGGCGGAGACATGGCGCTGCCCGCTGGTGCCGCGAGCCACTTGGCGTCGCGGCCCGCCAGGCCTTGAGCAAATGTGCGACGCTACATGCAGTCATGCATATGCACGCACCTGTGTGCATCCGACGTGATCCCTCTCACGCGGACACGTGATCGCATTTCTGTGCGCAGACTCGTGTCTGGCATAAAACATTGGATACATGATCCCGGGCCGAGAGTCACCGCCCCCCCAGATGGGATGGGCCCCAGAACTCCACGGGACCCCCTCCCAGATGGGTTGGGAGAGGGGGCGACCACGACGACGACGACGACGATGACGGCGACGACGACCACGGCGACGAACACAACGACGACGACGACCACGGCGACGACGACGACGACGGCGACGACGACGACGGCGACGACGATGACGACGGCGGCGACGACGACGACGACGGCGGCGGCGGCGACCTCTGGAGCCCTCTGTCGTCGACAACGACGACGGCGGCGGCGACGACGACCTCCAGAGCTTTCCTGGAGCACCATAGTACCACGCCCCACACGCCACACCCACAGCGCCACACCACTCCAACAGGGGGGGGGGGGGGGCATTTCGTGGGGGGGGGGTCGGGGGGCCCGAAGCCATCAGCATGGTGGTGTGTGTGTGTGTGTGTGTGTGTGCGTGTGTGTGTGTGTGTGGGCATGCCTGGATCAGATATAAGCAGATCGCACATATATATATATATGTATATATACATATATATATATATATATACATTTATATACATATATATATATAGGTGCGTGCACTTACTAGGTGATGGTAGACGTGTGCACATAACTCAGCATGCGTGTACATACATATATATATGCACGATGGTTGTGAACACGTTTATGCTTGTACCAGCACGCATAGTCATACGGTTATATATACACCTACTCAGGTGTGTACATGTACACGTACATAAATGTATGTAAATATGCGATGCGTACGAAGATGGGGCAGATATTTATTTATTTATTTATTTGCTTATTTATTTTTATGCATATATATATATAGAGAGAGAGGGAAAACGGGACATATATATAGAGAGAGAGAGAGAGAGGAGAGAGAGAGAGAGAGAGAGAGAGAGAGAGAGAGAGAGAGAGAGAGAGAGAGAGAGAGGAGAGAGAGAGAGAGAGAGAGAGAGAGAGAGAGAGAGAGAGAGAGAGAGAGAGAGAGAGAGAGAGAGAGAGAGAGAGAGAGAGAGAGAGAGAGAGAGAGAGAGAGAGAGAGAGAGAGAGAGAGAAGAGAGAGAGAGAGAGAGAGAGAGAGAGAGAGAGAGAGAGAGAGAGAGAGAGAGAGAGAGAGAGAAAGGATAAAGAAAACGAGGAAGGAAGAGAGAAAACGGAACCCCACTCCAGCGCCGATATTTCAAGACGCGGGCGCCAGGCGATCGACCCCCTAATTGCCAAGAACATGCCTGCTGTCGCGGCTCCTCTGTCGATGGCCCAGGGCCCCCAGAGGCCCTGGTCAACCACTCCGTGCCACTGCGTCACGAAGTGGGGTGTCCCCGAGATCCCTCTAGAAGGAGGGCGAGGAGGAGAAGTAGAAAGAGGGGGGGGAGGGCTCGCCGCAAGCGCAGGGGCGAGGACGGGAGCGTTGAAGACGTCTGCCCTGCGACCTGGAAGGTCCTCGGCCCCCATTCCTGAGCATTATTCTAAGGCCCCCCGGGTCCAGAGGCTATTGACTTTTGGCGCGTCCACTTTTGCGGAGCGCCGCTCCGCTCATCGGCCTCCAACCAAAAATAATTCGACTGCTGGCCCCCACTTGGCGGAGGGCAGCTCCGCTAATTGGCCCCGAACCCTCGGATGAGGATCGCTAACGACATCCATGAGTTCGCTTCCATTAGCGGAGCGCGCTCCGCTAATGGGCTGAGACTCTCCAATTTCCCATCGGCATACAGTCCCAAGACATCCCAACGAACGTCCAGGGGCCCATGACCCACCAACCAGGCACGGTGGCGGGATCTGCCACCGTACCTTGAGGCACGAGTTGGAGCATTCTCAGGTCCTTGGCCTGACCCCCTCAACATGTGTCCTCAGCTTTGGAAACCCGAAACGGTACGGTGACAGACCGCGCGGTGACCTCGGACTCTCTCAAGACCTCGCCGCACGGTCCGTCACCGCACGGTCTTGGGACCCCGGAGGCCCCTGTCGCCCGAGACATCCTCGGACAACGGCCCGAGTCCCAAAACTGTGCGGTGACCCCGAATCCGCACCGACTCACCGCACGGCGTGGTCACCTCCCCGTTTGAGGCCCCCCGATCAATCCTGAGGATTCTTTCAAGGGCCCGGACCCAACGTTTTTAAACTTTCAAGGGCTTGCCGCGCGCCCCTCGGAGTCCCGTCGCGGCTCGTCGCGCGACTTTTGTTCGGGCCCAAGAAGTCGAAATGCCGGCCAAACTGTTCCCAAGAGGCCCCAGAGACGGCCCGCGAGGGCTCCGAGTCGCTGAACGATCGGTCCAAGACGCCCAAGATAGCCTGAAGACGGCTGGAAAGGCGCCTCAGACGCCCCAAGAAAGGCCCACTAGGCCTCCCAAGAGGCCTCCCAAGAGGCCTCCCAAGAGGCAACAATCGTCCAATTCCCTCCGGCAAACATGCATCTTCAACATCTACGGCTTTTCGGCCTCGCGGCGTTCAAGGCGGCCCAAAAGAGGCCTCAAAGATAATTAGTCCGACGACTGCCCATCAGGCCCCCATGATGACGCTAACACGGCCGAATAGGCGCCCCCGACGACCCAAGAAAACCTAGGAGGGCCCCAAATAAGGCTCAAGGAGGAGGAGCCCGAACCGAAACTTCTAGCTTTTCGCCCCAAGATGCCCCCAGGAGACCTGAAAATGCCACCACCACCCAAAAAAGGCGCCAAGAGGCCCCCTAGACGCCCTCAGAGGCCCCAAAACGGACCCCAAGAAACCTCACACAACTCCAACAGGCCTCCGATAGGCCTCTCAATACATCCCAACGAACATCCCAGAGGCCTATGGCCCCACAGCCCAGGCACAGTGGCGAGATGGGCCGAAAGCCACCAAATCCGCCGCCCCCTGTTGATTCATCGCAGTGGCGCCCGGCGTGCTAAATCCTGTCGCTTTTGGTTTTCGCTCTTTTTCCAAAAAAACGCCCTCTGGGGTTTCGGCCCCGCCCGCCGGGGTCCCGGAATTGCCAATAAAGGGTGGTTCCAAAAGCTGCTCCTGCTCCAGATGGCTCCAAAACTAATTTCCAAAATGGCCAATATGGTCCAAGATGGCCTCTGGCATCGCCCAAAATGGTCCAATATGGCCTCCGAGAGGGCCCAGGGGAATCCAAGATGCTTCCAAGTTCGCGCAAGACACCTCTCAGACGGCCCAAGACGGCCCCGGAGGCCTCCAAGGTGTCCTCCACGAGAACCCGAAGAGATCAAAATCAATGTTTTCCGTAAGTTGTTGAAGGGTAGGGGCTTTTATTATTGTCGAGCCTTCCAACGGCTCACGACGGCCCAATGAACCCGACAGATCGGCCCCAGAGCGCCCGAGAGGCCTCCAAGATGGCCCTATAACGGCCCAGGAGGCCCCCAAGACGGCCCCAGGAGGGCGCCAAGACGGCTCCAGAGGCCTCTAAGACGCCCAACACGGTTTCCAGGACGGCCTCCAAGATGCTTCCGTCCAACACGGTCAAGATGAGCTTCAAGATGGCCAAGATGGCCGCTAAGACGGCCAAGGTGGCCCAAGATGGGCCCGTGAGGTCGTAAGACTGCCCCAGAGGAATTCAAGAGGTCCTCCAAGAAAACCCGGGGGAACCAAAATATGCAATTTCCCTCGGGTGTGTGACGGGTATGCTTTTGAGCGCTTTTTCTGATCAGTGACTTTGCTTGAGGCACGCAGGACATCAGCCGAGGAGCTGCTAACAGAGGGCCTCGGCAAAATCAAAACATCTTCGAACATATCCCATCTCAGTTATCTCAAGTCCACCGAGGCGAGGGATGGCCTTGGGTAGGTGGATAATGATTTGAAGGTAAGCAGTGATGGGCGAAACGCTTGCCATCTCGCGAAGCACCTCCATGAGCGCTCTTTCTCTGATCAGTGAACTTGCTTGAGGCGCGCAGGACAGCGGCCGACGAACTGCCGACATAAGGATCCGGACAACTCAGAACATCTTCCATCATCCCACGCAACCATCACTCAATAATTGTACTGCGCTCGCTCTTTTAAATGAAGCCATCTTGTGCGCGTTGGTTTACGGGGGCTTGCATTGCGGAGGGGAGAGGCCAAGAGGGAACAGAGAAGAGGAGGATAGGCATTCTTCAACTTAGACAAAAACTGTCCCTGCTGCTTGCCAGTAAGATCGAGGCGGGGTCGATGCGTGAACTGGCAAGTGCCGCGACCGTGACAGCGGAACAGGTCCAGGACTGGATCGGGCGTGCAACGCCAAAATCTGAAGCGCGTGCGGCCGCGAAAAGGCCGTCCGCAGGCACAGAAATCCATCGCGCGCTCAGTGAGAAACCCAGAATTCCACAAAACTTGGCGGTCGGGGCGTAACCGCAAACAGCTCTGCCGCGGATTTTCCTCCCCATCCAGGGATTCCTCTAGCAGTGCGCAGCCTTTGGATCATCATCCCAGTGGTTCCAAGACGGTTGGAGTCAAGGAGAAGGCGCATACTTCCCGCAGAGAGCCCAGGGATCCCATGGGGCGCACGGGGGGCCAGATTGCGCGGGGCATCCTACTGTTCACAGGAGCACGGCGTGCTCTAGAATAGCCTTCACATGGGGTTCCAAGCCACGCAGCCTTCACCTTCTGACTACTTATCCATCCTCGAAGCACATGCCGCACCTCAAGAGTAAGAAAATGAAAACATGATCGCCCCATTCTATCACGGCTTCACCTCGGGCTCTCAAACGTCGGCTGAGCTCGCCAACCCCTGAGAA